TATATATTCATAAAAATGTGATATTTTGGAGGGTGGATTCTAGGCATCAAAACGATGAAAAAAGTTTTGATATATATATATATGTTCGATAAAGTTTAATTATAGTTATAAATATTTTAAGTTTGTATTAGATAGAGTGAAAGAGCGAGAATACTCAGCTAAGTGCACGACAATATCATATTGCAATGTCGCTTATGTAACGGAGCTACAATGAAAGTAAATACAGTGATATATTTTTTATATACAATTGATTATTTCAAATGAATTTCAATGTAATGCAATATAATATATGTATTATGTAACTCTTTATTTAACAAAAACTTATCTTGAATAAGTTTTAGTAAATTTCAGAATATTAACACATATATCAATTTATATAAATCCATAGATACATCATTTTATAGTACAAATATATTATTTAAATTCATAACTAAATTGTTATATGATATTCAATCTATCTATTTATCGAAATCCATAGGAGCAAATCAAAACACACTCCCATAAAATTTCAAATTAGAAAGGTTAAATGTTTTTTTACATAAACTTGCTTATATTCACATGTACAAAAAATTCTACTAATAAATCAATTTGAAATTCACAGATTAATTAAAGTTTCAGTTGAAAAATCTTTATGTCTTTCATTTGAATTCAATGTTTTTTATTCCGATATGAGATCCGATATGAGTCAAAATTCAATATATTTTAATGTTATACTATCACAATAAATCTTATATCCATTAAAAAAATCATATAAGCATTGCACTTTTCTTTTTTACATTATTATTGCATATTAGATATTTTTTTTTTATTTATTTTTTTATTCACATTAATTTCTTTGAATAAAATTATTTCAATTATTATTTATTATCGTGCAATTTAATTTTATGTGAAAATTATTTAATTAAAACTTTATTTTAAATAAATATTCAAATATTAATATTATTTCATCAAATTCCATAATACAACAATGTGTTACTGAAATAACATTATTAACAATTGAATGCTGATTGTGAACATTAGAAAAAAACTTGATAGAAAGAAAAAAAGATAGTAATATTCTAATTCGAATATTATATTTGTATGTATTAAATATAAGAATATGAAAAAAATATGAAACTTTAGATCAACAATCTTTCTCATTGTTAAGATAATGTTGCTTTGTTCTCAGTTTGGTTCACAATGTTTATGTAACATATATCAGAAATAAAAGTATAGTATTAGAAATAAAAAAAAAATTAATAAATTTATAATATTTAGTTATACATAAAAAAACAATTGCAATATATATAGATATGTGATTCATATTATTAATATCTAGATCTACTATTTTCTTTAAAGAATAAAAAGAATTGAGTGCAAATGAAATAAAGATAAAGATTTGTCAGTGATTTGATTGGATATTTAATAATTTGAAATTCAAATTGATTCAAGTATCATTAGTATTTCAGACTTTCTTGTACATGTGAAAATAATTTAAAAAAAGAAAATTGTGCATATAAAAATACATTCAATTTTTCTAATTCAAAATTATAGAAATATGTTTTGATTTGTTTTTATGGATTTCGATAAATATGCAAGTTAAATGAAATACAATGATTCATCTATGATTTTAAATAAAATATTGTATCTGTAATCATTGTATAACTCTAAATATTGTGAAATTTGCTACAATTTGTATGAGATAAGTTTCCGTTAAATAACAAAATATATAGATTTCAATTTACATAATTAAAATTTTTTTTAAACGATATAAAAATGTCACATAGTTTTATTATACAATATTTATGTACATTATATTACCTTATATTGAAATTCATTTGAAATAATCAATTATATATAAAAAAATATCAATGTATTTATTTTCATTGAAAGATTCTGCTATGCAAGACATTGCAATATAATACTGCCGCGCATTTAAGTGAACATTCTTGCTCTATCTAATAACAAATAAA